TCCTTTAAATAGACTTGACATTACGCCGACAGGTCCTTTAAATAGACTTGACATTACGCCGACAGGTCCTTTAAATAGACTTGACATTACGCCGACAGGTCCTTTAAATAGACTTGATATTACGCCGACAGTTCCTTTAAATAGACTTGACATTACGCCGACAGTTCCTTTAAATAGACTTGACATTACGCCGACAGTTCCTTTAAGAAACAATACTATTTAAATATTCTGAATATACAGGGTGTCCCACGAAACATAACAGTTGTTGAATGATTTAAAATGTCTTCTTCCATAATTACTTAAGTTGTTTAATACCAAGAGAATTATAAGAATATTTAATTGTCATTTTATGTTAAATTGATTTCAAAGTAAAATATATTTTAGTGAAAGATTTTATTTAACGAAAAAAGTGCAGAAAGGCTTTAATATCAATAACAGTATTAGGTAGAAGACATTCCAAATTATTTACCAACTGTCGTGTTTTGTGGGACACCCTGTACCTTTGATATCTTGTAGTTATCTGGTGTCTTTAGCTCTGCAGAGCTTTCAATCAGATTTTTATACTTGGAAAACTCCTGAGACTAAACATTTTTTTATTTTAAAACTAGAAATGAAAGTAAGTAATCATGTTCCTTTTAAAACATTTTTTAATCACAGTTTTAGATTGGTAAAACATGATTCAGTTTTTTCAAATTCTAGTTTTAGATTGGTAAAACATGATTCAGTTTTTTTAAATCCTAGTTTTAGATTGGTGAAACATGATTCAGCTTTTTTAAATTCTAGTTTTAGATTGGTAAAACATGATTCAGTTTTTCAAATCCTAGTTTTAGATTGGTAAAACATGATCCAGTTTTTTTAAATCCTAGTTTTAGATTGGTAAAACATGAATTATTTTTCTTTAATTCTAGTTTTGGATTGGTAAAACATGATTCAGTTTTTCAAATCCTAGTTTTAGATTGGTAAAACATGATCCAGTTTTTTAAATCCTAGTTTTAGATTGGTAAAACATGAATTATTTTTTTAAAAATTATTTTTAACTAGCTCATTTGTTGAAACCATGATATTTCAAAATGTTTTCATTAAAAATTTTAAAAAATGAGTTTACATATTTTTTTTGAGATGATTATTTTTCTAAAAAAAACTGTTAAAAATAGGTAATGATCAGAGCAAATTTATTGATTAACAGAAATTTAAAAACCGGATTTAAAAATTCAAAATTTATCCAAAATTCAAAATAAAATCGCGATTTGAACAAAAAAACATTGGTTCTAAATCTATTAAAAAGAATTTTTATTTTATACTTTTCAGCCTTAACTTATGTTTTAGATGTTTAGGGATCGGAAAGACAATGAGCAAAGTGCCAAAATTAATGCAATTACAAAATCGGTTTCCCCTCTCCATCATATGATACCCAATATATGATTTTTTACCTTACTTAGGTGTGCCCTTTTCCATGCCTTTACTGTTTCTTTCTCCAGGTTAGGATATAGTTTAATAGTGTTATCTGTTAGCACATTTAGTCTTTGGATCAGTTTTAGATCTCTACTCTGATCTCTACCCTGATCCCCCTGGTTCCTTTCTACGGTGCTCTCCCACTACAGATACCTTTAGTTCCATTATTAAGGACGATGAGAATAAAAACCCTCAAGAGAGGTTTTTTAAAATTTACTTTGAGTGCACGTACGTAAAGGTATACACTATACAGTTGGGACAATTTATGACTTTTATATAAATCAGCCAACCGGGGATTTGTACATTAATAATGCGATGAATAAAAATTGTTCACTACACCCCAAACTAAATATTACAAAAAATTACTTCTTTCACCTGATTTTCTTGGAAATTTTATGCTGAATCCGAATTTTTCAAAAATAATTTAATCAAATGATCTTGACCCAACTAAAAACAACAACAAATTTTATAGGCATTTTTTTGGACTGTGTTTCGGCCATTATAGTTTATTAAATTTGTTTTATTCTACAAATGGTATTCAAATTTTAATTCAGTGTAAAAAATGTCAAAGAAAAAAAGGTATAGCATGATTTTTTATTTTATTAAATGCACAAACCCTAGGTGGGCGGTTGGCTCAGTTCCAATATTAAGTATGCCAAGATACAGAGTGTCGAGTGTCCCAAAAAAAGTTGTATAATGTATTTACACATTATATCTTTTTTTGATTTAATAGGTTCGTGTATGGTGTGCATACTTATTTTTTATCAATAAAGTTTATGAGAAGAATTTAAGAGTTGCACAATGGTCCAAATTCACAATGGTACCCTTGATACTTTGCCCACTTATAATCCAATTTAATTTGTTATGTTTATAGTATAACTACATCACGAGAAATGCATATAAAATAAAAATATATAAAGGTATCTGCCTACATGATGCTTGATAAAACAAAATATATAAAGGTATCTGCCTACATGATGCTTGATAAAAGTTCTTCCAAAATAGTCCTTAGAAAGTCCAAATTTAAAATAGTACGAATGTACAGAAAAAGAAAGATAAATATCAATTTGCTGTAAAAGAAAAAAACCTACCAAAATTGTTGTTATTTTAATCAAATATAATGAATCTTAAAATCTATGAATCTATAAAAAGATATTAAATGAAAAATATCTAAATCTTTAGAATTTTAAAATTTGGAATTCCTTCGCAATAACTTTGGTTGCCGAGTGCTGATGTTCAATCGCATATTTATTTCTATTTTCTCCAAACTTTTCTTCACGGCTTTTCTCCGGAGTTAAAACTGGTTTGGGTTTTCTATCACTGGGCTGTAGCTTGAAGGCTTTTACTTTGAAGGGATTGTAGAGATAAATTCGAGTGATTCTAGAGTGGCCGATTCTAGAGTGGCCGATTCTTAACGACATCTTTTAACCCTTTGACTGATTACGGGTGTTGAAGAAATCTTTGTTTTTCAATTTGATTTTTTTTTTCAATTGTGGAAAAATAACTCGCATGTTTGCCGCAGAAACAATGAAGGAAGGAAGGAAGTAGACAGAAACCTACTTCTGTGTTATTCAAATAAAGGTGTATAGGGGACCGACGTGAATCGCATATGCCACTCTAAAAATAAAAGGCTCATAAAACTATGTCTACATTCCCTTTAAACTGATTTTGTTTAGAAGTATTTGATGGCTTTGTTGTTCTCTTGTCAAATCTTCTTATTTTTCTCCTGTCCAGCATACACCGCGGTTAGATATAATTTGAATAGTAGTTTTCTTACAAAAGGAATTGAATCTTTGCCACAAACTCGGATTTTTAAAACCCAATTTCCGTATATATTTCAAACTATGAATTCCGGCGAATCAAACAATGTAAGTTTAAAATATGAAAGGTTTACATCATCTGGTTATTGAGATATAGGTATTAGAAAATTGGGATTTGTGGCAAAAACTCAATTCCTTTGTAAATGAAGAGAAAAAAGGTTAATTTTATTTCCATCTAAGAGTATAATATCTTTATGTCCCTGATAAAAATGCTAAAAATCTAAATTATTTTCAACCGAAAAAAAAATATTCTAAAACTGTTCTTTCTATTTTACAAAAAAAACTTTAAAGTTAATTATTTAACATTTGTCTAACCACCTGCCTTATCCCTCTGTCCACACTTTTCTTAAAACTAGATAAAAAGTAAAAAATATTAATTCAAGTTTTTTTTTCAAGCTGGCTAAACATATATATATTTATATTTACTTTTATTGAGGCACTTGCCTCAAAATCTAATTTTTGATCCCAATGTTTTAAAATATGAGGTCGTAAAAATTAGACATTTTAAGCTAGAAATTCTTTTAGAAAATCTAAAAGTCAAAGTTCCAATATCAAAGGTTCACGCCATAAAGGAATTGAGTCTTTGCCACAAAATCTGATTTTCGAATCTCTAAATCTGAGCAACCAAGAGTCGCAGACTACAGATATTTCAAAATATGAATTCTGATAGATCAAATTATCTAAGCTTGAAATATCAAAGGTTTACACCATCAGGTTGCAAAGATATAGGAATTAAAAAATTTGACTTTGTGGCAAAGACTCAATTCCTTTGCAAAATATGGATTAAAAATTTAGAATTTTGTGTCGAGGGTTCCGTACATAAAAATTTTAATCTGAAATGTCTCCTTCCCCTAGCAAAAACTTTGTTGTTCCTACTTTTTGAGTTTGATTTTTTTTCAGAAAAATGTCTCATTAAATGTTTCACCTGAACTTCAGATCTTTGTTCATTGTTCCCGTGAAATGTTTACACTTCTTCCCCTCCTACATTTTTATCATATTTCAAGAAAAATATAATTTTGAAAATTTTTAATTAAAACGCTCTACAGAGCTGGGAATTGTATATGAGAGTTATAAAACTTGCTGTAGAAATGTAGCATGCCATGGTCGATATACAAGTATGACATATATATCAAGGTGGGTCTATGCGATATAAAACTTGCTGTAGAAGTTTAGCATGCAGCCATATCGGATATACAAGTATGAAATATATATCAAGCTGGGCTTATGCGATTCGATTAGCAGTCTTTATTATTTAGTCTATGAATGGGACTTTGGGACTCTAATTATTCTTAATCTTTACTCTCCGAATTCTGGAGACCAACAACTACCTTTTCAGATCTGAACGAAACTTTAAAAAGATTTAACGCGGAGTGAATTACACATAAATCTAGTTTCAAAACTTTCAGAATTAATTTGTAAAAACTCATAGAACTTCGGAGTCTGAAGATAGAATACAAAGAAGGTGGGGGGGGTAAGTCTGAAATCCCCCCTTCCCCCTTTCCTCTGGGATATCCAGTATTCAGTTGAGAGTATTATTATGTTAATGCAATTAACAGACTCCAATGTAACCTAATGAAACCTCACATCAAATAGACCTAAAAGATGGCACAGACCGTCTAGAAAAGAGGGCGGTCACTTTTTTTGAATTGAGACTTCAAGACAGTCCTTTTTGTTTAATAGGATTGTCTGTAAAAATAATTACCCACTATAGTCGTAACTTTAGATACAAACAAATGCGAGTTAACTGTTTTACGGATTAATCACTTCAATATATTAGTTTCCACTTGGAAATCCAATTCAAGCGCTTTCTCAAACAAAAGTTTCGGTCTCTTAGCAATCTTGGATCAATAATACACCCAACATTTTCACTCGTCATTTTTAAAATATGTCTGTCATTTTCAAATCACAAAAAAAGGCATTTTTTTATTTAACACATTTTTGGCGATTATTAAACCTCTTTTCCTTCCAAATCCCCGCCATTGAAAATTGGAATATTTAAATTTTGCCGAATTATATGAATTAAAAGTTTGATGAATGAGCTCCTGGGAAATACTGTTTATGAACTTTTAATTTTAGTTTTAAACATTTTATGGAGTAGATAGATAAAATAAAACTTTGAGTTTTAAAGTTTTTGCAGAAAAAGATATCATTAAAGTTCGGTTCAGAAATGATAAGCTCTGATAAAGTATATTTATTATAATTTGAAGAGTTGGACACCTTTTTTTCCAAAATCTGTTTTGACTGTATGAAAATAAATTCCCTAAATTTTGGACAGATAAAGTATGTGGGTTAATAATCATAAACTACAGTTTTCTTATAGTTCAAAATAAGTAAGCAAGCCCTTAAAAAAATGTTACCTTTTTATCAAAATCTAAAAATTTTAGGCTCCCTTGTTCAATACTCCCATCCTCCCTGTAGTATTAAAGCAATCCAAACAAAGAAAAAGATCATAAAATTAAATATAAAATTATTATCTGGATTTTTATATTTTTTCATTTTTTCTGAATATGCACAAAAATTAAATACGACATTCTATCTTTTAAAAGATAAAAAATAAATCATGAAATTCAAAAAGCGTTAAGCGTTCAAAATATGTTTTATATTTATCTATATTGTATAAACCTTTCATTATCGTCACCCTCCCTTAACTAGATTAAAAGATAACTTTTAAATTTGCATTTGTATCAAAATTATGCATCTAAATTGTCTAAATATACTTACATAAATATATATATTTGATTAAATTTGCTGATAAGAATACGATTTATATCCACACTCCCAGATTCTTCTTTCCAGTCTCCCGAAACATATAATTAACAAAATCATTATCTTATTCTGTACAAGGCAAAAATACAGAAAATTTCAATTCCGGAAAAGACAAATTTAGTAAAAGAATAATTCGGAAAAAAAAATGTCGGAAAAGACAAAGTTTTGAAAAATTCAAATTCTGAAGAAAAAAACCATTTCGGAAAGCTACTGGAAAAAATCGATTCCAAAAAAAATGTCCTGGAAAAGACGAACTTTGCATGGAAATGAAAAATTCTGGAAAAGGCAAATTCCGAAAAAAAAATTTTGAAAAATATTGATTCCGGAAAATAACAATTCTGGAAAAACAAATTCTGGAAAGAAAATTTTTGGAAAAGCAGCAGAGAGATAATTGACAGACCTAATCTAACCCACTCTCTAATGAATTTGTCTTATCTAAAATTATTTTTAACACAAAGGTCGTCAGTTCATTCCACTAATTTTTGGTGATTTTTGATGCATATCATCTTTAACTATTTTATATTTTTCGATGAAAATCGATTAGACTTTTAAGACAATATTAGAGTACCATTAGCAATACAATAATAATATCTAAAGAATAAAGGAAAATATCGTAGAATCTTAATTTTAAAGAACTTGATGAAAAAAAAATAGGCTAACATTTTTTATTCCAATATACTAAATTGAACGTGAGGCAAAATGCCGGCTATAAATGTTGGATGTAAAGACATCTTTTAAACGGAAGCTTTTATAAAGATAATATTTCATAAATGACAAACTCCCCCCCCCCCCCATATATACATTTTACAACCAGGATTTGCAATTTAAGATGCAATATAAAGTTTTCCAGGAAATCTCCTGAATCCTCCATTCTATCTTCTCTGTACTAGAAACTAGAAAGTTCAAATCCTCTATTTGTTTTTACTGTAATTGACTCCGCCACAAGTTTTCTACACTTCTAAGGGACTGTTCAAGTAATTTCAAGTGATCCTTTATTTGTCTCATTTAAGTGGCATGTCCGCTTCACAATAATACCTGATTCTAAAACTAAAGAATGCGCGAATTTTAAGTTCGAGGTTAAAAGTTCTGTAAAATAATGAATAGCTTCTTAAATATTAAACTTTCTCAATTTTAAATTTGAATTTCCCGGGAAAATCTGAACCAATCAGAGAAAAGGATTTACGTAAAAAAGTGTAAAACGGCCATTTTGTTGAACTGTTTCCATACTGCAGGTGTACTTCACATATTTGTGCTATATAACCTTTTGGGTCCTGGAACATCATTTTATAGAAAAGTTTTCTTTTCTCTAAAACAATTCTCTGATAGCCTGTCATGCACACGATGGATAGAAATCAATCTAATATATTTTTTTTCATTTAAAACATATTCCTATAATTGTAGCCGGGGGGGGTAATCAAAGAGGGAAACAACCCAATATTTTAGAAATATTCAAGATATCAAAATATGGTCCAACTTTTATTTACACCAAAATTGAGGATGGTCATAAAGTTAATATTTTAAAATGAATATTAAAAGAAAACCAAATTATGAAATAGGCTGGTACTCTACTGCATATAATTTGTGAACATTTACATGCATTGTACACTTTGAACTCCCTTTCAGGCTGAAAGGGACTGACAAAATTCATACCGAGGGATTGTCTAAATTCCATTCTAATACATATTCTATTCTCTTTGGTAATTGTCCATATTTTATCTCCAGACACGCTTGTAAGTGTTTCTGTTTTTGCATGCAAGCTATTTAATACTGAAATAATATTATAATTTATTTTCCGAGAGTCACTGAAATGGAACTTTTTCATTTGAATTTTAGTTTGACATCAAATATTTAGAATTCTGGTTTGTGAAATATATATGACGGTATTTGCACTGTTTACTACAGTTGAGTTCTTGGCACCAACTTTTCACCGAGAAAAATAAGGATTTCTCCTTTGGCAAAGACCAGACAGAGTTTTGAATCGGACATGCCACTCTAAAAATACAAGATATCTTCAATATTTCTAATCTTAAGTCTGAAACTTGCAGCTATTTTCATCAAGACATATTGACATAACGACATTCAAAAATAATTTCGGTTTACCACTTCACCGACTTTTTAAAATCTTAAGTCAACCTTAAAGCAGGTTAGAATAATTTAATAAAAGTTTTGAAAGTATTCCAGTAAAATTTGAGAATATCAAGTATATTCTCATGATTCTCAACCATATCCCGGGTAAACTTTAAACAAACTTTGGAACATAACCCTCTCCCCCCCCCTCTTTATATTTAGGTTACATCCTAAAATTATTCTTTTTATTATTATTTTGTATATGTATAGTTTATTAGGACTTCAGTTATATTTTAAAATCTTTCTGGTAACTATTCACACATTTTATCGATCACAACTGTTTTATCCCTTGGGACAGTTAAGTAAAAGAACATTAAAAAAATGAGAATTGCCATCCCTTAGGACGATATAACTTTGTACAACTACTTTTGCTACGTTCTGGATGTTTTGTACGCAAAATTGGTCTTTTCAATCTTAAATCATTTAATCTAAAAGAATTCATTGTTTGAAATATAAAAGGTCTACGACATTGGATGCCAAAGATAATAGGATTAAAACATCAGAGTTTGTGACAAAAACTAAATTCCTTTTATCATCATATTTATTGGAATGATAAATGTCAGAGGATTAAAATTGTTTAATAATTGTAATTAAAATTAAAATTACAGTTTATTTACAAATAACAAAGAATTGCCGAGTAATGTTAGTGTACACTAGCATGCAGTGTGAGTAAAAGTTGCAGAGAAGTCCGCGACATCCTTCTTGTGAATTGTACTGCACTATACAAAGGAGGTTCAATTGAAATTACGCCTACTGTCCCTTTAAAAATTACCTCTTGTGGAACTGTGGTTACGCTGAATTGAAGGAGGAAAAGTATTAAAGAAGAAGAAAGAGAATTCATTTTACAACCTAATATTCACTTTAATTCTTTATTCATTTATGTTGAGAGTATTCATATGAACTAGATGTAATCCGAACCCAGGGACAAGTTTAGTATTAACTAACTAAATATTGATCAAATCTATACTTGGTTTTCATGTCATGTGCTGTTTACAATAGAAAATGTACTGTAAAGGGTTGCCGGAAAGAAAGAAGGTTTAAAGCCTGCTTATATAAAGTCTAGTCAATTTTTAAGACAGGGTCGACTTTGAAGTGTCACAACGCCTTGGGCTTTAATTTTACCGCTCTAGCTCAATTATGATTTTCTGTAGACCTTTACATGTACATTTTATTACTGTGAAGCACTTGTTGTTAGATTTGGTAATTTTTATTGATTTTTGTTTGAGAGCTTGGAACATTTAAATTACAGTGCGTAGTTGAGCTGAGAATGCAGTTCTGCAGAAACTTTTTAGGATTCATTTGAGACCTATCAGACGTTTTTACGGTGCACATTTGTTCAGAAAGAGCGCAAACTCAATCTTTCAAATATAAATCCTCATTGATTGTCCATTTTGGATGGATGATATTGAAAGTCGGTTTTATAATAACGACGACGAAAAAAGTAACAAAAGTTCGACAGTGAACCAATACGTTGTTTAGGAACATATTTCTCAATAGAAATTTATCAATAAATCAATGTTAGAAAAATTGTTACAAAAAATACACCTCGGGTTGCTTTCAAGTGCCGGGCCGATATTTAAAGCAATTATGTCTATACGTAGAGCAAGTTGTACAATTTACAATGTACAGTGAGTACCAAAAAACTTTGGAATAGTAAGACGACCTTATAGACATCCTCAAGTGTATTTTATGTTGTTCCCTTGCAAAAATGTATGCCAGTAACCTATTGAATAACGTATTAAGTTAAATGGGTCTGTTTACACTCCACGATTGCTGTTTCTCTTGTTCATTGGACTCAAGGTTTTAATACAAGGAAACATAATTGCAGTTGCATATACTCTGCGTTCATATTGAAACCAGTTCTCTCTGGGCGGAATTTGTAAATAAGAATAGATGCGTCAGTGTTCGTTTAGTATTCCAGGAGGTTTAAGGCATTAAATTTTGATAGTTTTGATGATTCACATTAAAGTTTCCTTTGTCCAGAATATTTTATTGATTTGTATGTGAAAGATGGATCCCATGTCAGGCTTCGACATACGTCTTGTATTTACATTACCGCCCAGAGACAGAGCACTGCAGTACAAAAGATGCTTACACCTCTGAAATAACTTGCATTATAACCTTGATTGGACTATTTAAATTCATAACTTGAGTCTAAAAGTCACCTTTCTATTCCAGAGTTTTCTGGTTTTCACTGTACAAAATGAATCATCTCTTTATTATAAGATTAATATGTTTAATTGGGTTGGATAAGAGGTAAAGTTCTTCTTTAAACAGTTTAATGAATAATGATGACTGTATAAATGATAAATAGCAATTTATTAACAATTAACATGTATCCCGTCATAAAAGGATTTAGATCTAAATTACAAAGTTTTTACAGTTATTTCGGGAAGTCTGTTTATGTTATGCCTCTCAGCCCTCCTTGTAAAATACAGGGTTACCCAAAAAAGATGAGACTTCAGATATTCTTTTTCCTTTTCTTAGGTAAACTTTGTTGTCAAGTCATTTGTAGAAGGTAGAAATTTGTTTTAATAAAGAATTCCAGATCGTTATAACAGTCTCATGTTTTGTGGGTAACCCTGAATGCGCCCGCGCATGGTGACTAGTAGGGTTTACTTGGCAAATTAAGCGGATGTACAGTAGTATAGTTAACATGAATAATTAAATATATTTATTTATTTACATTAATGATTGGGTTGATTAAACCCAGCCAACTCAAGGTTGGGAGGAATAGAAATTGTACACAATTTGTCTACAGTAGATAGTAACGGACGTTTTCCTCGGAAAGTTAACTTGTAAACAAAACAAGGTTTATGTACATAAAAAAACGCTTTAGTTTACATACCTCCTCTATATATTGGCGGGGCCGATTTACAACAGTACGCTTAAACCTTTGATTATTGATTTTTCTCTCTCTTTTTATTTGGATTTCTCATTAAACATGACTTTTATATTTATTCTCCGGATACAATGGAGAAAATTGAACACTTTTTAAACTGGAAAAAACGACGATATTTTCATCATTTTAACTCAAACATAGTTTTATTTGGTACCTTTGGGAATCAAACATGCAACTCTTTTACTAGAGGGTCATTTGAAATTTTGTTAACAAACCCTTTAAGTTCGAATGTAAACTGATTCGTATACGTTAGAGATTGTGAATCTTTGCGGTTTGAAACTTTTAAACTTTATGCATTTATACATATTCAACATCTTTTCCTCTAAAAATGCGCAACTTTCAAATTTTGCGAAAAAGAAAGATTTTTGAAAAAAGAAAGTTTGCCAAGGGAATATTTAAGAACAGACATTTTTAATCGAGAAATGAAAATAATTTTAATATAAGTTGTAAAAAAATAACTATATTAGATAGATTCTGTGCCGGAATATACATACTAACCTATTTCTTGAAATTAGATATCTCTCTTTTATAAGTTATTTTAAATCATTTATGAACCGGAATATACATACTAACCTATTTCTTGGAATTCAGATATCTCTCTTTTATAAGATATTTTAAATCATAAATGAGCCGGAATATACATACTAACCTATTTCTTGGAATTCAGATATCTCTCTTTTATAAGATATTTTAAATCATTTATGAACCGGAATAGAAACAAACATATTTATTTGAATGTATCTAATATTCCTCTTCGATTAGATATATTATGCGCTGGAATAAATGTTATTTTATCTCTTGAACTCTTGATTGGAATATAACCCCACACCGACAAAGCCTTCATACATTTCTGAAAATAAATAGATTAAAATTAGTTTTTTGGGACTTAAACATTATTGTCAAGAATTATCCATTTTTATAATTCTAAAAGCATTTTTCTTCTTATTACAATTAAATCTTCCACTCCGGCATCTATTCTGTTTTTCAGTGTTTATGCTCGTATCTATCTTGAATTTCAAAAATATCTGTTTTTTTTATCCCCTCCCCCCTTCCACTTTCTTTTCTTTCAATCTCTGTTTATCTGTTCGTTTTTGATCTTTTCCTCATTTCTTTCCTTTACCGCTGTTATCCCTTACACCCCCTCCGCATCCCCACGCTTCTCCTTTCCCCATCCCCTGCAGTGATAAGTAAAAGGTTGCCCCACCAAATGGCTTCCGATCCGCATATTGACGTCTTTAACAAATGGATTTTCGGCGGTGCTCGTAAATTTCATTTTAATCTTATACAATTAAAATTTTTAGTATATGCTCGAACAAAATAAATTATCCAAAATGTATATTATGCTTAAGTTGATCATGTTAATAATTGAGGCCCGAAAGTCATTTGAATGCCGCTGCCTTCCCTTCCCTGTAATCCTTTATTACCTCTTGAACCTCCAGTATAAATTCCAGTCCACTCTCCTTAGTTTAGATTTATAAAAACTAAAAGTTGAAATGAGAAGTAAATTTTTCCTCTTATTTATTTACAATCTAAAAGTTCAAAACAAAACGTAAATTAGGTAAATAAATGATTCTAACAAACTGTAGCATTATGATTTCGTTTTAACAGTGTATTCTTAGTAAAACTTCAAGTATTTATATTTCATGATACCTAATAGTGTGAGAAAGAATATATTTCTCTTGGCTTTCTGACCACTGAAGTCCAGACCAAGCAATTATCTACAATAAAAATGTGTTACACTGCAAACTAAGCCAGAAGGAGAAGGTCTAATTTAAACGACTTTGTGACCTCGTAGCTCCTCTACAATTTTGATTTTATACAAAATTTTCCAATAAATAGGTTTATCCGGTTACACATACTTGTTCTTCACATTTAGCTCTTCAATTAAAAGAGTGATGTTTAAAAACAAACAAGAATTCATTCTTCCCTGCAATTTACGTTAGTTTGACGTGATAAACATTATGAAATTTACTTTAGTTTGACGTGATAAACATTATGAAATTTACTTTGGTTTGACGTGATAAACATTATGAAATTTACTTTGGTTTGACGTGATAAACATTATGAAATTTACTTTGGTTTGACGTGATAAACATTATGAAATTTACTTTGGTTTGACGTGATAAACATTATGAAATTTACTTTGGTTTGACGTGATAAACATTATGAAATTTACTTTGGTTTGACGTGATAAACATTATGAAATTTACTTTGGTTTGACGTGATAAACATTATGAAATTTACTTTGGTTTGACGTGATAAACATTATGAAATTTACTTTGGTTTGACGTGATAAACATTATGAAATTTACTTTGGTTTGACGTGATAAACATTATGAAATTTACTTTGGTTTGACGTGATAAACATTATGAAATTTACTTTGGTTTGACGTGATAAACATTATGAAATTTACTTTGGTTTGACGTGATAAACATTATGAAATTTACTTTGGTTTGACGTGATAAACATTATGAAATTTACTTTGGTTTGACGTGATAAACATTATGAAATTTACTTTGGTTTGACGTGATAAACATTATGAAATTTACTTTGGTTTGACGTGATAAACATTATGAAATTTACTTTGGTTTGACGTGATAAACATTATGAAATTTACTTTGGTTTGACGTGATAAACATTATGAAATTTACTTTGGTTTGACGTGATAAACATTATGAAATTTACTTTGGTTTGACGTGATAAACATTATGAAATTTACTTTGGTTTGACGTGATAAACATTATGAAATTTACTTTGGTTTGACGTGATANATCTGAAGACTACAACAACTATTACAACAGTAACAACAAAATATTAACAACAAAAACAACACCATTATCACAACATCAACAAAAAAGCAACAGCATAAATAACAAAACAACAACTTAAACAACAAGAAAAGCATGAGAATAAACCTGCAGTGTCTATCAGGTTGAGTACAGTCCGGTTGCTTACACCAATGCATTCTTTTCCTACTGGAAAACGTTCCTCTGGGATCTCGAGTTAAAATTAAAACCTGGAGAAGAATGTATTCGTAGAAATAAACATTTTTTTTAATTCAACGTCAACGTAGCGGCAAAAAAGGATGGCATGCCATTCACATATTTATATTTATAGGCAGATATCGTTCTGTTTCTATTTTCAAGGTTTTGTGAATCAGATATTCAAAAGTCATTTAAAATTACGTCTAAAGTCCCTTAAGACTCCATTTTTCTGTTGGAAATTTTATATTTTCAATATTTCAAATAAAAAACTAATATTATTAAAGGTATTTCAGTTTATGAAAAGAAATTATTTTTAATATAAATTTAGCAAGTATTTGAAGAGACTTGTGACGTATGAACAAGTTATAAGTTTATTAAATAAAAAGCGCGTATGTCCACTTAACAATTTTACACTTTAAACACTGATAATTTGTAATTAATATTTCTCTTTACAAACTTTGAAACGCTTAATCATGATCAAGGGTTACTAAAAATAACGTGAGTTGTTCTTTTAGGTTGAATACCTTGTCTACTAAATCATAATCTAAAAGATGTCTCGCAGTTGACAGTGTAGCCCTCACAACCTATAATACATATAGAGAATATATACAGAGATAATATAAACATGGATCTTTTCATAAAGAATTTGAGTTCTTGTCAGAAGCTCTGATTTTCTAACATATCTTTCCACCCAATGTCGGAGATCTTAGATATTTTAAACTATGGCTTGTCATGTATTAAATAACCTAAGTTTAAAATATCAAAGGACTATATAATCAGGTTGCAAAGAGAAAGGGGTCCGGATGAGAAAATTTATGTTTGCGACAAAAACTCAATTTCTTTTAAAAATAATTTGAAGCAAAAGAATTCACTCCACTTTTTAATTATTTACGAAAGTTTCTTTCCAACCACACAATTTTGCAATTCCTACGTTATTTATTTTTTACTCAATGCGTTTTCTTCATCAGCTAATGATTATCAAAATAGNGGAGAATCCTGAACCAGTCCTATAAAGAGAATCATAAGAATAACTGGAGAATCCCGTACCAGTCCTATAAAGAGAATCTTAAGAATAACTGGAGAATCCTGAACCAGTCCTATGAAGAGATTCTTAAGAATAACTGGAGAATCCTGAACCAGTCCTATAAAGAGAAGCATAAGAATAACTGGAGAATCCTGTACCAGTCCTATAAAGAGAATCTTAAGAATAACTGGAGAATCCTGAACCAGTCCTATAAAGAGAATATTAAGAATAACTGGAGAATCCTGAACCAGTCCTATAAAGATAATCATAAGAATAACTGGAGAATCCTGAACCAGTCCTTTAAAGAGAATCTTAAGAATAACTGGAGAATCCTGAACCAGTCCTATAAAGAGAATCATAAGAATAACTGGAGAATCCTCAACCAGTCCTATAAAGAGAATCTTAAGAATAACTGGAGAATCCTGAACCAGTCCTATAAAGAGAATCTTAAGAATAACTGGAGAATCCTGAACCAATCCTATAAAGAGAATCATAAGAATAACTGGAGAATCCCGTACCAGTCCTTAAGAATAACTGGAGAATCCTGAACCAGTCCTATAAAGAGAATCATAAGAATAACTGGAGAATCCTGAACCAATCCTATAAAGAGAATCATAAGAATAACTGGAGAATCCCGTACCAGTCCTATAAAGAGAATCTTGAGTGGAGAATCCTGAACCAGTCCTATAAAGAGAATATTAAGAATAACTGGAGAATCCCGTACCAGTCCTATAAAGAGAATCATAAGAATAACTGGAGAATCGTGAACCAGTCCTATAAAGAGAATCTTAAGAATAACTGAAGAATCCAGAACCAATCCTATAAAGAGAATTTCTAGATAATCTAGTACCAGTGCTTTAAAGAAATTCTTGAGAATAACAGTAAAATCCAGAACCAATTCTTTAAAGAAAATATAACTTAATGACACCAATGATAACCACGAATACTATTTTATCCAGATTTATAAAAAATACGTAATCTACTATTTATTGTATCATATCCACAAGTTGTTTCGTGCTTTTGCAATAATCTTCAGGATCAGGATACAATTGTAGATTTTTCTATTATCCTCGGCTTCATCTGCAGATTTATAAATAATTTTGTTAAACTTACATGCACCAATTCCATAGTTTTTTGAACCTCTTAAATCCAATAACATTCTCCTAGGTTAAAACAATCTGGATTTTATAATGTATAATGAATTCAAAACTTTCACAGGAATTGAGAATTTGCCACTTTATCAGATTTTCTAATCNGTCATGTGAAAACCCCCTTTTTATACTTTGTTTGTCTGGCTGTCTGTCCATTTGTATCCAATAAACGTCAAAACGGCTGAACCGAGTGGTTTTGTGTGGGTCACTACATGACCCCACAGAGAAGGTTTATGGATGCTTGAAATTACAAAACTATGTGTCCACAATATTTTGATTTTTGTAAAATTTTCAAAATGCGCGAAAAAATATTATCAAGTCCGCGAACTTTTGTTTGTTATTGTTTGTATTGTTAAAAGAGAAGATGGGCGCCTGCAATTGCCCTAAAAGCTTAGTGTTCTAAATTAAAGATGATTTTAGATTGTATTTTCCTGTTCATGATCCAGATATGAGGTCATATTGTAGAAGTTGCACAAAAACAGAGATGTCAGACGGTTCACACTCATCTTGCACTCATTAGCAGACCTGAAATAATACCAATAGAGGCTTCATGGATAAAGTTTTTGTTCCAGAACAGTTGGTACAGTTTGGAACAATAGTATTTGTTTTAAATCTAAATTTTAAGAGAATCTCTTTTGCCTTTCAAGAGATTATCTTTCAAGGAGTCTGTATTTCAGGAGTTTGTATTTTCAGAGTATGTATTTCAGGAGTTTGTATTT